AAAACAAAAAAAAAACATTAAATATGTATATATATATACACGCATATACATATACATATATACATATAACATTTAGTTGACAATATACTTTCTTATATTTCTCTCTGTGCATTGTTAGGTAAACAATTTACGGTATGAATGTATGCGCAGTGCCCGGTTAGCCGTTAGTGTTTTTTAGTATTTAAATGTAACAACGGATATTCCTCTGTAAACCTGCCGCGACGCAGCCGTTCACGGAAAGTTCGTTTCGTTTCGATTTTCTACAAATTTGGATTTCACATTGAATGTTAAATTGCACAATCGTAATTATACCCTATTCCGAATTGTTCCCAGTAACCATAGGGTATGGACAGAGCTATGTTTTATGTATCGTATAAACTTCGATAGTTGGTAACCTACAGTGATTATAAGACCTGTAACGAATAATAATCGTGAAATATAAATAACGAAGACTATTCAAATGGACACGTGAAGCATGTACGATGAGTAATTACTTTGATTAACACTTTTAACCGCACAGACTTGCGATTGCTTTTTTCTTGTTCACTATCGACCTAGGGAAAAACAAAATGGATATTTCTATTCCATGGACTCCGATGGATTCTTTATAAATTCTTCTACTCTATTCGTTTCATCGAACTTTCTATTCGAAAACGGATTGATCTCATTACCGCCTGTATTCGAACATTGAAACGCGATCGAAGAGACAACAAAAGAAAAGTGTTAATCGATGCATAATTGTTAGAAGATTTGAGGGACCCGGACAGCACTCGTGCAGCCAGGAAACCGCGCCTGTCCTTGTTTCTCAAATCGTATTTCGAATACCTCCTGTTTTGTCAACGCTACGTCGAACTATTTTTGCGTGGGGATTATTCTCTAGTCAGTATACGGAGCACAGAAATTTTTGCTCGTGCCACCTACAACGGTGATAACTAAAATCAAATGAAAAATCAGTCAAGTTGAAAAAATAGGCAACAGCCGGTGAATCCGTGCAGCGTTTGGTAATTGCATTCTCTGTGTACTTGCTTCGAATAATTCGCCCACAGAAGTCTCTCTATTTACTTTATACGGAAAAAAAAGAAATCATTTTGTATCAAATGGATTATAAAATCGTGTAAAACCATTTTTCTATTGAATCATTTTTTTCTCTTTTGTGGATACGACAATCTTGGATGTACGTTATTTCTTCCTAAGAAATAATTATGTTGGCCGATCGGGACCGATCGGTTGTACCGATACTCGTCTCGGTCGTCTTTCGAACGCAATAAAACAGCAAATTTTTGGTTACCGTTTACCTCTCTTTATTTCCTTTTACGTGTGTTTTGTAGATTATCGGTTCCGTAAGCTGGAGAGTTCTTTTGGCGTGATTCCGAGCTTCGCGGCAACTTGTATCTGTTCATTTTGATCTCGTTCAACCGGTCCCCTTGCGTCATGATACGTGGACACTGCAATTCCCTTTCCGAATCTTCTGCCCCTTTAATATTCCTCAACCTTCCTGCGATAAAATTATAATAATGGTTCGTTTCATGATCGTTTCATACGAAATCTTCGAAGAAATGCTAATGCAGATAAATTAGCGTACTTACTCGGGACTTAATCGGATCTTTAAATGTCAATTAACCAAAATATGTATCACAAAACACAATAGTGCACATTCGCGGGTTTAAACAGACTCTTATTTGAAACGGTTACTTCTAGAAGCTGCGTGCGCATCTATAACCTTTAAGATTAAATGCGCGCGCATCGTCGAGGGTTTGACTAGGTTAGATGCGTGCGCATTTGTACAACTGAAATAACCGCGAAATCGTTTCGCGTGTAATTAAATTTTCTTAAGTTACGTGATTGATAGAATGTTGAACTATTTTGAAATATTATCAGGAATACATATAAAATCTCTTTTTGTATTTTTGTATTGTATTATTTGACGAGTTAACAGATATTGTAAATTGTAATTTACGGGTACTTCGAATTTGAAGTTTGATAGATGCGCGCGCAGTGGTTGACGATGCGTTTAACGTTTGGCACGCTGGTGAGTACCCTCAAACTTTTTTTAAACAAAACTATGATTATTCTTAAAGATAAGCCACGAAACTAGTCTAAATTGAACAATTGTAGTCCATTCTTTCTGTGGTAGTGTTTGTTAAGAGATTTTCGAAGAATTAACAGATTTAAATTGAAATGAAAATTCAGCCATTCGATCTGGCTGTGTAGAGCAGATAGACGGTTACCGCTCCTTTGCATATCCGAATTTTTAGTTAAAAATAAACACCGAGACGTTGCTTTAATAAATATTTCAATTTCTGCTTGCTTGATTATAACGTATACACATAATTACGATCATTAATACTTGTTTGATCATGTAGAGTAGAAAAATGTTCTATTGGTCATTAAAAATGTCCATAATGTATTGGTAATTGAATGCATATAAACACTAACACAGTTAAAAAACCTAAAACTTAAAGAACTATTAAACAAATTATTATTATAATTTATAAATAAAAAAGAATATGCTGAGAACATACTTAGAAGTCGAGTGAACTTCATCTTGCTCGATTTTCCTGTTGGTGGATTGTTGAATTTGTTAGGTTCTGAAATGTTTAAAAATTATTTCTTTAATAATTACTCGTTCGTGGATTTATTCACCATACGAAATAATTTAATTCTATGAAAATATTTTAAATGTTCTTTTCAGTTGTGAACTCGATGGTTTACCTGTGTGTGTGATCTGAGATGATTCCTGTAAGTTCTTCTCCAACTTGTCCATCACTGAATAGATACCCCATTTATGGTGCAGAATCACATCCCCATCAGCATAGTATTTTAATCTGCAACATAGACACACCGATACGAAGTAAGTACTTACATCATGACAATTAATTAACACGATTTTGAAAATTATATTTCAGCTACTTAATTCATGTTCAACTGTGATCTTAAAATAATTACTTCCCTCAGGTATCTCTACATGCTTCGTCAGTTTCATTTCTATTTTCTTTCATTTTTATCTTTATCACTTATTCAATTATTTAAAAATATGTATGTAATATGTGTAACCTCGCTGGAAGTGGCACCCTTATGATGTCTATATAAATGATAGAAAAATTCCCCAAGTGTCCAAATGGACGAATCCCAAAGAAAGATTAAAAATTAAAAGAAACTATATTGTAAATCAGGAATCTGTCTAGTCACTTGTACTGTTCGCCGGCGTTCAGCAAATTCTTTTCCATGTTCTCCAGCCAGGTTTGTTGGTGGCCGATAACAGAACCGGGTCGGCAAATCCTTATCCAGGCAATGGCTTCTCTCGCAGTCATTTTGTAATGCTTTATCAAGTAAGCCGCAATTAGGGAACCCGTTCTACCTAAACCAGCCTAAGAGACCGACGCATTAAAAACAGAATGAACGTTAAGAGGCATGGGAATATTATTCAGAAATCGAACCATTCAGACTACCTTGCAATGAACCGCTATTGGCCCACTAGTGTTTTCGCTGAGCGAGAGAAACTGATGTAGAACCCTTTTCGGTGGCACGGTCCCATCCGGCATGAACATGTCGTGATGAGAGATACCTGCTTCGGTGAATCTAAGACCACGAGATTAATTAACCTTCTATAATCCTATTTAAATTTGAAAGGAATAAACAAGCAAGCAGTCGAATTAGAATGTAAATCTGAAAAAGATGCAACAATAAGGGATTCTTTAAATTTCGAAGAATGTATTGTTCTATGTTTTATGAAAAGTTATTATAGAAGGCTAGATATAAGTCACCCTAATTGCTGAGTGGTTCTAGTGTTGATGAACTATTTCACACGATTTCTCTGATATTTGTACCTCGATGCGTCGTACGACTTTTTGTTCAACCTAACCACAGCCGTGACTCCGTTTCTCTTGAAGTAGTCGATGTAACATTCAGGGGGGTGATAGGGGGTTCCCGGTTCGGTGCTGGGACCCATGAAAGCTAGGAACTTCTGCGGCACCATCCAGTTCAGGTTACCGTTCCTCGTGTCCTCGTACTTCTGGTACTCGGCGAGATCGAAGTCGTCGAAGTTGAAAAATCCGAACGATGCTGCCTTCTGGAGCGCGTTCAAACAATCTATCGACAAACGGATGAGCAAAATAACTAGAAGTTGACATTAGACTTATGGAACGAGTCAATTTCACTCATACCGACTTTTAATAGTCCTGAAGCGAATGCGGTTAAGCCGATTTCTTGATATTTCCTGATTTTTCTACATTTTAATTGAATCAAAGCTCTTCTTTTTACAGCTTCCGAATACGTTGTATAATCATTTCACAAGCGAAAAAATTAATTTTCTCAATCCTTGCTTTCTAGACTCAACCGCATTGGCTTCTGAACTCAACTGTCTCTCACCGAGAAGGTGAATCTTGTAAATCGAGGTTCCCATAGAAGCGTCTTGGAACGGTGTTATCGGTACGTCGCCGCCCATGAAGAGAGCGTTGTAAGCTTCTCTGGGACTTCTGTTCAAGTACAATAGAGCATACGAAGCTACTAAATAAGCAGCGTTCGCTCTCTTGTCCTCCGTTTGGGAGGTGTAATGCACGATTTGCTTGTGCTTGTTGGCCGGGCTCTGCAGCTTCTTGTTCACCTTGTGACAGTATCTGTCAACGATTCAGTCGCAAACGAAAAATATAATTTAAAAATCAACTTCCTCCTATCAAATATCAAACTAAATCGATTGCACCGAAAGAACTTGTTAATCAAAGAACATGTACACACTCACCTGTACAAGCAAGCGATATTCAACGGGCCGAAATCGTTGTAAAAATGATTGTAAACCAACTCGTCGTCGATCGAGAAGCAATCGAGGTTCGACGAGCTCCTCGCGTCTTTGCGTCCGCTGACTAGCGTCGCGAAATAGAATTTATCCTTTATGTACTCGGAGATGTGCGTGAGATCCGGATGCTTATAGACCGTGGTGATCTCTAACGAAACGAACAGCGGAGTAGAAGACGTTCGTACACTCTTCTTTAGAGACGTACCTTCCACGCCGACGAGTCTGTTGTCATGAATGTTGCGACAGTTCCTCGGGAATCTCGTGTCCCTCGGCTCGTGCATCGTGGAACGATGTCGCGGCTTGACGAGCAAAGATTTACCTCTCAGAAACTTCGGGGCCCACAGTCTGGGCATCAATCATTTTTCAACGGACGCGCAGCTCGCGGAGGAAAGTTGCGTTTCAAATTTCCTGGCGACTATTGTTCGATGTTCGAACGTAGTCATATCTTGCTCAAGGGTGTAACGCAGGGTTCAATTCAGTGCCATCTTTGAAACTCGAAGCTTTCCGAACAGTTTGTATCCAGTTTTCGTCACTGATAGCTTGCAGCTCCTAGATCGTAATTACATCGATCGCGTAATTCGGTGATCCTAGAGTGTAACTTGTGTTTTAGAAACTTATGTACACTGTGTTAGATATGCGTTCAGAAGCTAATGCTGAAAAGATTATTTATTCCATTAAAATTTACGAAAATCAGAAAATGTCAGAGAATAGACTCCATCGCGTTGGCTTCTGAGCGACTCGTATCGCTGCCCTCGCTTACCCCCGGAAATTTTCATTGTACGAGAGGGAAGACCGCCTTTGAATTCACTACAATTTAACGTGCCAAACCACTCATCTCGTGTTTGACGAATCGATGCGAGACATTTGTCAATGGCCCACGATCCTCAGATTTTTCCCTTACGCCTGCCAACCGAACAGATTCGCTCCAAGAAAAAGTGAACGACCATCGATTCTGAGATACCTAGTTCAACGTTTCTAACTTGGAAATCGTTTCAGGGAATCAGTGCAGCGAGGAAGACGGTCGATCGACGTAGACAGCGACGGAGGACCATTCTGCGGGATGATGGCTGCCGAGGAACCGCTGAGCAGAAGATCGGCGTGGAGGGTGAGTACAATTGCGTTCTATCTAGTTTACAAATACACGAATCCGCAGTGGTTCGAAATATTCCAACGAAGCTACTGAAGAAGCTTACACAAGAATCGACGTCAACGTCGTAATTAGCAATTCTGCAGAAATCTCAGCAGACATAATGATCTTGGAAACCTGAACGACGATGAAACTATGCTCACTTGAGTCTCGATGTTCACGAATTACCAAAGACCAAAGAGAAACTTACTGTCTCCACGAAGGGATCACGTGGTCAAAGTACTATATCAATTCACGAAGTCCTACTAGATCACTTGAAGGCTACACTGAGGAGTTCTGATCGACCAAAGTTTTCATCTTTACACACCCAATCCCCTCTTCGCTTTATTTTCTAATTCCCGATACGTCCGATCGTTAATTTATTCATCGATAACGAAACCAAACTAGAAGTGTAAGCCAGAAGACTTCTGCTAGACATCGGGTCACCTGCCAACTCTATTCTAACATCTATTTCTCCCGAAGGAAGATACGCTACCGAGCAGGGATCGTCCTCCAGTTGCATCAACCAAGTTTCTTGTTATGCAACGCTCGTCACTGCTACGCAGTGCATCCAGTTAACCATGAATTGACCATTGACGCTAGAGCTACCGAACAGATCAAAATACAGTAGAACCTGTAACGCGACTAAAGTGCTACAGGGTTTCACGTTGACAAGTTTCGCGTGAAATCTGGATACCGGTCCAAAGTGCGTTAAACTGGTCCTTCGTTCGCATCTTCTCATTGAATGATCGGCTACGAAATCGTCGAGCGATCGGCGCGTTCCACGCTCCTGGCCAAGCTCGATTTTCCACGGCGCGACGGTGACACGCATCGTTTCCCGCGCGCTGATAGGCGGTGCTGCTTCCCTCGAAATCAGCCGGTCGGACGCGGATGTGTTCCTTATCCAGGTTGCATAAACTGTACGGGGCCCGTCCTCCTCTGGTACAATTTGTACCGGGAAGTACTTGAACATGCAACGTGTAAGGCCGGCCGGGGGACCGACTTTAGCCGTCCTCGGATATCGTTCCCCGGCGCGCGGCCCGATCGGTATTTACGATTCAAGAGAAATCTCTCTCCGGGACAAGAGGCGGCCTACGTCCATCCGTCTGTGCATCCATTCCTGCGCCCGTCAATCCGTTATAATTTCTCCGTTAATAGAATCCGAGATTTCGTAGCGAATCGTGCGACGCATTCGTAACCGTTCGCGCCGCGGCGTTCTCTCCTCTCGTCTTCATACGCCGTCCCCCTCTTTCTCCCACCCCGATAGGAATCATTCTTTCTCTACGCAATGCGCGCGCGCGTCTGTTCATTCTTCTACGCGCGCATTTCGTCGACTTCCTGTTTATCTTTCTTCTTACCTCATTTCTTCGAGGATTTTCTTCGGCCACTTTCGTGGGTGCTCTTACTAGGGAGTTTCCACTTCTTTCGGCTTCTGGATTCGTTGTGTCTATTGTTTTCGCCTTTTCAAGGTGCTTTGGGGAACCGTCGAGCGTGCTAGGGTTTTTATGCTCGATTCAAGGAAACGGGAATTCAAGAGCGTGAGGGTTCGATGCGATGTCTAAAGTTTGAATCTACTTGAATTCCAGGATTCAGGGTGTTTCTTAATTTCTTCTGCCTCGTCTTCTTTCTTCAACGTTGAAACTGTTATTCAATTTCATCAATGATTCCATATACTTCTCTATTGGCGTTCCAGACTTCATGTAGCGTCTAAATCCTCTTCCTTCCTTCATTCGCTGTACAAGTAATCAACCATGTTGAGTTTCAATCCCAACAGCTTGATCAGAGTAAAACTGATTGTACCGCGTCGCATTGGCATCGAGTTAACCTCTACCATCAACGTCGACATGAACAAGTCAGAGATTCTATCGAGCAAACGAGACTCGTAAAATCGTCGCGATATCTTCCTAGCGAATCACTTCTCCAAAAAGTGGAACGATCAATTTCTCTATCAGAGTGACCTTCAGAAGGACATTTACAGGAAGAACACACGGTAACCCTTCTCACTGTTGCGCATTCGGCGAATCGGAGCAAGGTCGAAAAAGAGGAACGGAGAAAAAAAGGAAACGACACATTCTGCGAAATGCAAGGCGTGTAATCGGGCCTGCTAATTACGCTTCCAGCGGGTATCGGCCGCTGGGATCTATTTTAAGCCGACGTATCTCGGGTAACGTTACCGCGCGGACGGCCCCGAGGAATTTCGATTTTTCCGGTGGCGCGCGCGTCTCCTTCGATTTTCGCGGTCGAAACGGACCGGGCATCCTTATGAACCCTGCTCCGGCGTCGTGCGTGGGTGGGACCGCCGAGTATGGTGACCGGCGCGCGCGCGCGAGCGAGCGAGCGCGTCCCAAGATGAGCGCAGACACGGGGCAAGAGGAGGTGGGAGGACTGTTTAGGCGAATAAGGACGTGACGTAGCCACATCAGAGGCGTATAAGGAGAACGGATTCGCTGTTAATAGTCAATATGCATTAGAGAAACAATGAGCGGATCTTCGTGCCGCACACGACGACCGCAGAGGATGTTGGTCGCGATTCGACCTCTGCCGCGGACGTCTTCTCGACGTTCCTAAAAACACCGCGAGCGGACTCATCGAGTAAACGGAATTATCTGGGGATTTCCTATGGTCGATCGTTTCGCGGAATCCCTCGGAACAATCGATGTCGCTTTTGAATCATGATGTCGAGGATGTGGTTGGTAATAATTTTTTGAGACAGGATTTCAAACACCAAGACGTCAGTATATAGTTTCCCTTCCTCTATTATTTAAGTATCTGATACACAATCTAGCTTCATCTGCTGAAGGTTTTAGATAATTTAATGAATCATCAAAGTTGAAGGATCAAGAACTGCAGTTTCAACATCCTAGCTCCATAGTGGCACTGCAAACATCAAGGACCTTTCGAAGCTTCTCAACGCATCCTAGGATCAGAGGAACATTCTCTAGGAATGAAGGAATTCACTAGGACCATCAAGTTCACCTGCAAAATGGAGAGTCTACAGATACCAAAGTATCCGAGGAACACCTCTCTCCGCCTCGAGAGCGAACAAAGTCACCAGAACTCGAGCGTCATCGAGTTTAACCCTGCGATCAACAACCTACAAGCAACAGTGCCCCGGCCGAATCATCGTTCGAGTCCCGAGGAGGCATCATTTCACCTGGAAGCCGCGGCGAACGGAGACAGACGTGTGGAATGCGCGACGCGAAAGCATCGTCGCGGCCTCCTCCGCCCCCGGCCCGATAATTTGGACGCTGCACGGCCGACGAGCCAAGAGGCAGCGGCGAGAGAAGCAAGCTCGGTGCGTAAAACTGGCACATACACACGCGCGTGCTACCAAAATGCCGGCCGTGCAAGAGCGCGTCGCGCGGAGGAACGTGTACGGGGACACGAGGTGTACGTGTTCTGCGAGTGAGAGGCGATCGACGGGGGATAGATGCTCGCTGGCTCCGCTTCCGCGTGGACGGACAATCGCCTTTGACGAGGCGTTCCTCGCTAGCGTGCACGCGCTCTCTAACCGCACGGATTTCTTTCGTACCGCTGCTGCTCGCGCGCGCGAGCGCTCGTTACTGCTATACAGTGTGTCCAGGCTTAACTATGGACTGACTATGGATTAGCTAGAGCTATCGGATAGATCGGAATACAGTGGAACGCGATTAAAATGTCACAGGGTTTCACGTTGACAAATTTCGCGTCAAATTTTAATACCGGTCCAACTTGCAACCCTTTGCGGTCGAATGGCGACATTTCGGAGATGAAATGTTCGTTGGAAGACTAAATTGCGAACATGATTCATGCACGTTTCCTTTCTTTCTATTGTTCAAGCAATTAATGTATAATTCAGCTTCGTTTGCTGGTTTTATATTTCGGAGAATCTTCGTTCGCAAAGGGCTAAGCTGGTCCTTTGTTTGCATCAGTTCCTTGGGGAACTATAGAGGGTCTTATTTTTAGTTTCCTGTTGCAAATGCTAAGATCTTAAAGAATTATTCAATGAGTAGGTTGAGCAATACGAGAATTGGAATATGAGTTGTAAATTATACGTTCAGCGCAGTCCCTATCTACTGCTACCGATGCTTCCTGAATAGATTGCTGCGTTTGTTATTCGAACATTTGTCATTCTGAATCTAGTGTACAAATTTTAATGCTTAGATTCGATATTAT